CTCTCCGGTTCGGGGTAAAGTCCTTTGTCAAAAAGACTCTCTCGAAGTCCACTGCCTCGGCGGGAGTAAACCTCCCTGGTGCCCTTGGCATTATACAAAGTCCAATCATCCTGCGCCGTCACTGTCCTCGGGCCCCAGCGCGAAGGGGTTGGAGGCGGCCAAGACAAGTACGCAGGTAACCGGGGAATCGCTCCCCCCACCGCACCCGACGTAGGTTTGTGGAGGTTGTAGGGACCGATCCTGTGTCCCCCTCCGTTGTAGGTAGGTTTCCCTCTGCCCCGCTCATGATCACGTCAGATTCGGGACGATAGGAAAATTGAGAGTTCTAACAATATGTTGGATCCCCAAGCATCGAGAATAAATCCACGTTTTAAAGAAAAGCAAAATTTATTTCAAAGCTTTGGAAAGACACTCAAACACGTTCTTTGTTAGAACTGACTACAAACGGTTAGGGCAAACATGATAAAGGGATTTCAACCAGGTGCAGGACCAATGGGGTACTCTCCCGCTGGCGGGTGAAAGGAAACGGTTGCGCGCTCATTCCCTGAGAACCAGGCTATCTCCAGACATAATACAGGTGCAGTTCCCAGGCTCTAAAAGCAACAAGCTGGCAGTCAAGCGTACTCCCCCATACATCCTCCAGTTGTTTGGCTTAGGCATTACAGCAGAGTAAAATACAGGCGCACATGCAGCAGGGGGGGGGGTTAGCAACTGTACAGAAACACAACTAACACAGAACACCATGGCAGCTCGCTGACAATTTCCACAGGTGTAAGCAGGGGGGAAGGCTTTCACCGATTCCTCCTTCCGACAGCAGTCCCAGTGCTCCCAGAAATGCTGCTACTGCCCCCCCCCCCAGAAATAGCTTGGGGGATCAGAGGTCTCCTGTGCAAGGGAGGAATCGGCAAACAAACTCCCCCCCCCCACGCCTGTGGAAATTCAGGCAAGATCTAACTCAAGGTGTATTTCTTTTTTTAGAATATTCAAACCCCACCTTTCCCCTTGTGGCTCAAGATGGCTTCCAATTTCAAGATTAAAAACAGACACAACAGAATAAGGCCCCCATTCACCCCCCTCCCTAACCTTCTGTTTCTTTATGAATAAAACAGCCTTTCAGCACCCCTTAAAAAGCCATGGTGGAAGGCACTAGAGGGGGGAAAGGCTGTAGTTTATTCATTTTTATGTATTTATTTAATTTATTTCTACCCTGCCTTTCTCCCCAATGGGGACCCAAAGCCGCTTACATCACTCCCCTCCCGTCCATTTTATCCTCCCAACAACCCTGCGAGGCAGGTTAGACTGAAAGTGTGTGACTGGCCCAAGGTCATCCAGTGAGCTTCCTTGGCACAAGTGGAGATTCGAATCTGAGCCTTCCAGGTACTACACTTGATCTTAGCCATAAGGCCAAGAAGTATCTTCTGGATATTACTCGAGTGCTCTTAACCACTATGCCACACTGTTGAAGTTAAGCTGGCTGCCTTAAGGGTAGGCAAACGGACAGTAGTACCTAGAAGACCATAACTGGTGCACTGAGACCTACAGGGAAAGATGGTCCTTCAGAACAGAGGGGCGGGTTTGTTTGAGGTTTTGCCCCAACCCCCGAAGTGGCAATTGGTTCAGCAAAAACAAATTAAATTAATATTCATCCTCCTAACACATTCTCCTGATTCTAAAGTTCTAGGAGACAGCAGCCTGCTTGCATTGTTCTGCAGTAGTGGCTCTGAGACACTAAGATGTAGAGGAGAGGAGGCTTAGCTTAGTGAAGCGTCACAGGAGAAAACGTGCAAAGAAGGAGATGAAGGGCAGGAACAAAAGGCCAGACCACAAAGCCGATAGGCCTGAGTCCAGTGATCTGTACCATATTCAGCGATATCAGGGTGAGGGGATGCTCCTCGGGAATCTGATACCCTGCCTTCCATCCAAGTCCGGTTATTCATTTAGATTTTTATAACCCTCAGTGCTCTCAGACAGAGATTACGAGGTAGCTTACAACCAATGTCCCAAGGGACGTTAACAAGGAAGGCGCTTTTATAATCATAATAAAGAGAATAACTACATCTGGACATTAGCAAGGCTACAGAGGAAGTCTGACCTCGATACAAAGGGAGCAGAGCTTTATTGGACAGAGTTTGGGTATATGACCGAGCTGCTCAGCAGAAAGTGAGAAGCGCACCAGGAGCAGGTGCCAAGGGAGAAAGATGATGTGGCATCCAAGGTCCCACATGGAGTGAGTTCCCAGTGTGGCTGTCACAGCAGTTGGCCCCAAGACTAGACTGAAGCAATGGACAGAAGAATTTGTGGGTCAAGGTGAAAGAGATCAAGTTGAGCATCTAGAAACATGTGGTTTTCTCCAATGCAGGCCAAATAGCATCCCCTCTCCAAGACCATTTCGAGTCCACAAAATGGTGCTGGGAGCAGGAGACCAAAGCCCCTTCACCATGCATGCCACAGTTGCAATCTCTGTCACCCTGCTTTAATTGATACCTTACTCTTAATTGGCTCTCTGTGGCCCTTCACTGGGGAAGATAGATACATGGCCTTTTCTATGGTGGAATGCCCTTCCCTTGAGACTTGCCTGGCACTTGCTTTGCTGTCTTTTAGGGGCCAGGCCAAACTACACCCACGTTTCACCCATGTTTTTAATTAAGGGCTTTTAATCTTACTGGCTTTTTAAATGGTTTGCTTCTGTTTTATGGATAGTTTTTATGCTGCTTATTTCCAATGGCTTGTTTTCTTATTATACTGTGGCTTTCAATGGTAAGTTGCCTTGAGCAGGACTCTGAAGAGACTGCATAGAAATATTCTAAATAAATAAATAAACTGGGCACCACAAGGATGAAAATTAAGGATCTCACGTGTGACTGTCACAACGGACAGAAGGCTGAGATCCCAGACCCAACCTGTGTATTCCATAGTGCAGAAACTGACCCATAATATGGCTATGAATGGGAATGACTTTGACTGCCCGTGTTAGAACGTGGCCTAAATTGTCATTCATATCATATTTCTCTTCAACACTCCTGGACTCCAAATGAGGTGAAATGGCCCCAGTGACAAGAGAAGGGAAAGCGCACAGCCAGCAGAAATGCCCAAGATAAGAAACAAATATCTGCTTGCTTACCCCTTTCGAATGACAACAATGATTGCTCCCAGGAGGATGATCAGCACCACCAGCCCTCCGGCGCAAATGCCCAGGATGAGGCCCATCTCTTCTGAGTGCTGGGACACTTCCAGGGGACGTTTGCTCTCTTTGCAAGCCGCTGGAAAGGATAAACACAGGCAAGTATATGTATATATATCAAAAAAGCTTCAGATTGTTGCAATGGTTTCAGCAGAACGGTCTCCTTTCTCCGCAGGTCACTTTTCTCTGTACCAATCATGTATACATTCCAAGAAGAAGGGTTGCATCATCCATTTGATGAAGATAATAACCATCAGCTGCACAGAGCCTTACTAAGCCTTCCCTCCCCCTTTGATGTTCTATTCAGATGCTAAAGACTTCCTAGTTAGTAACAAATCACCTTTTGACATGCTCTCCCAATTGGATGAAACAGGAAACCTTGGTTTGAAGGCAAGGGAACAAACCAAAGTTGGCCACTTTGTCATATTTGGTTGTCTCAACAAACTGCAGTTCACTGGAAACAAGAAGTCTTCAAAGCACCACAATATGTATCAGACTAGGATCTGGGAGATCGAGGATCAAGTTCCCACTGTGGGAATAACCTCCACTCTCCTTTCTGAATATACCTTTTCTTACATGATTGGTAGTGCTAAGCAGTTTTTTAATGCCCTATTTTCTCTCAAAGCAATGAATTATTTGAAGTTTTGGTAAACTCATTTGGACAGATAATACCAGATGGGTTAGTTTGTAATAAATGAAGAAAATGGGACTCCGGGGACACCTTTTAAAAACAAACAAACACACCTTTATTCCAGCATAAGCTTTCATGAGTAAGGGCTGTCTTCATCAGATGCACTAGAGTGTAGATCCATCAAGCTAATTTATATACACAACAGAAGTGTGTGTGTATGAGTGTGTGTAGGGGGCATATTACAAAGCAAGCCTGGTTCAAAACAAGATCCATTTCAAAGACTACCGGTAATCGGTTTACTCAGAGCAGAGGTGAGTTGTTGTTAAAACAGGCAAAACGCAGAACCTAATGCAGGAGGACATAAGATATGCAGACAGAATGGGAAGTTACAGAGGTCTAGCTAAAAGTAATTAGCATCCATGAGGAGAGGGGTTTCAGTGAATCAGCACTGCCACACAAGCCACTGTGAAATCCCACAGACCTTTCAATGTAGCAAATGCACTGATAAGCAGAGACTTTCTTTCAAAGCAGTATGGGGGGGGGGGAATGGCCAAATGAAATGGTTCAGTAATATTTCCCACACCCTGACCTGGATGGCCCAGGCTTGCCCAGTCTCTTCAGATCTTGGAAGCTAAGCAGGGTCAGCCCTGGTTAGCACTTGGATGGCAGACCGACGCAGAAGTCCAAGGCAGAGGCAGGCAATGACAAACCATCTCTTGTTGGTCTCTTGCCTTTGAAAACTCTACAGGGTCACCATAAGTTGGCTGCAACTTGAGGGTGCTTTCCACCACGTATAAAACTGTTCCATTTAGCACTCCTTGTCCTTAATGCAGTTTTCTGTTGTTTCTGCTGTAAAATGGGAGTGGGCGCCTTCACAGCGTGATCAGCCCAAGCTGGGAGAAAATATGGCCAGGCTGAAAGTGATGCAGAACCGCCACAGGTAGGATGGCCACCTCTCAGCTACATCAAAGATCTATAAAAGACCAGCACGGCCGAGAACAGAAACTCTCTTTCAACCCAATATTAGGGGGCAAGTGGCTGAATACAAGGGTACAGTAATACCTTGTATGCCCTGACCTGGATGGCCCAGGCTAGCCCAATCTTAAGAACATAAGAACATAAGAGACGCCAATGTTGGATCAGGCCAAAGGCCCATCCAGTCCAACACTCTGTGTCACACAGTGGCCAGAAATACCAGTGCCATCAGGAGGTCCAGCAGTGGGGCCAGGACATTAGAAGCCCTCCCACTGTTGACCCCCCCCCCAAGCACCAAGAAGACAGAGCATCACTTGCCCCAGAGCCCCTAGCTATACCTTGTGGCTAATAGCCACTGATGGACCTCTGCTCCATATGCTTATCTAATTCCCTTTTGAAGCCGTCCATGCTTGTAGCACCCACCACTTCCTGTGGCAGTGAATTCCATGTGTTAATCACTCTTTGGGTGAAGAAGTACTTCCTTTTATCCGTTCTAACCCAACCGCTCTGCAGTTTCATGGAGTGCCCACGAGTTCTTGTATTGTGAGAAAGGGAGAAAAGTACCTCTTTCTTTACCTGCTCTTTCCCATGCATAATCTTATAAACCTCGATCATGTCACCCCTCAGTCGTCTTTTCTCCAAGCTAAAGAGCCCTAAGCGCTTTAACCTTTCCTCATAGGGAAAGTGTTCCAACCCTTTTATCATTCGAGTTGCCCTTTTCTGCACTTTTTCCAAAGCTATAATATCCTTTTTAAGGTGTGGTGCCCAGAACTGCACACAGTATTCCAAATGAGGTCTCACCATTGATTTATATAGGGGCATTATTATATTGGCTGATCTGTTTTCAATACCCTTCCTAATAATCCCCAGCATAGCATTGGCCTTCTTTATTGCAGTCACACACTGTCTCGACATTTTCAGTGAGTTATCCACTACAACTCCAAGATCTCTCTCTTGCTCAGTCTCTGCCAATTCAGACCCCATCAATGTGTATTTATATTTAGGATTTTTTGCTCCAATGTGCATCACCTTGCACTTGGCCACATTGAACCCCATTTGCCATGTTGACGCCCACTCGCCCATCCTTGACAGATCCCCTTGGAGTGCCTCACAATCCTCACTCGTTTTCACCACCCTGAACAACTTTGTATCATCCGCAAATTTAGCCACTTCACTGCTTACTCCCATCTTGTCACATCTCAGAAACTAAGCAGGCCCTGGTTAGTACCTGAAGCTGCCTGTCCTATCTAACCAGACCTGCAATAGCTTTCCAAGGTCTCAGGCCTGCTTAGCTTAGGACAGTGGTACTCAGTCCATGGTTTGAGGAGAGCCACAAAACAGCCGCAATTACTCCCATCCCTGGCATGAACCATTTATCTCAGGAAGGCTTGCAGCTTATCTCTTTTTCTGGCAATGGGTGTTTCTAGGGGAAAACCACCTGCCAACCACAAGGCTCACTGGGTGAGGGCCCTGTCCACTTTTCTGAAACATGGAGCAGGTGCAGCACTGGGGGAAAGTGCTCAGAAGAGCCACAATTGGCATGACAAAGTGTCACATGTGGCTCCCGAGCCACTGAGTATTGCTGGCTTAGGAAATCATTCCCAGTCCCTTTTTTATCTGATGTTCTGTAGGCCCTCAGAGAATGACCTCTGGACTTTCTGCATGCCAAACTCTTAACGATCATTAAATCCCAACTCAAATGACGCCTGTCTCAGATCTCTAAATTTGTTAAGTCATGCTCTTCTTCAGCTGGAAACCTTTTGCCTTGCTTTCAGCTACCGAGCATCCGACCTCACCGCTCAATGTTTGGAAAAGGATCCCTGACACCTTCTACTGCCCTTGTGAAAAAAATCTGGCAGGTTCGGTCTATGTGGCCTTGGCAATTAGGAGTGTGAGAAAACAAATCAGTCGTTGCCCTTGGGCATCTGTAGGGCAAGCCATGCCCTGCCTTATGCTCCTTACCCGACAGAGTGGAACAGAAGGCAGTCCAGTCTGCAAAGAGACATGTGTCATTCCCACAGCTCAATGAGGAGAAGGCATGATGGAGGTTCAGTGCCAGCAAAAGTTCCATCCTCCGCCAAGCACACACAATGCCTATTTAATGTTCTAGCAAACAATCCAATCTAATCCCACATTAAAAAACAAGCATGCTTAATGTCCTGCTCCAAAGAAACAATCGGCCAATCTAACATATAAAAGAGACAAATTATGTCTTTTCCTCCCTCCTCCTGGCTTCTTTCCTATCTCCATTCGCCAGAGAACGGGCCGGGCTGTGACCACAATATTAACTCTATTAACCCCACACAAATTACCCACTCCAGAGCAGAGGGCATGGTTTGAACGGGAAACTAGATGCCGAAGAATATGTTCATCTGGGATGGTGGCCAAGGACCACAACTCAGTGGCAGAGCATCTGCCTTGGAAGCTGAAGGTACCAGGTCCAATCTCCAACATCTCAAAAGAACCAGGTAGTAGGTGATGTGAACGACCTCCACCTAAGACCCAGGAGGGCTGCTGCCAGTCAGAGCAGACAATGCTGACTTTGATAGACCAAGGGCCTGACTTAGAATGAACACAGCTGTATGTTATGGGATCCCCCAAGGTGGATGGCCCAGACTAGCCTGATCTCATCAGATCTCAGAAGCTAAGCAGGTACAACCCTGGTTAGTATTTGGATGGGAGACTACCAAGGAATACCAGGGTCATGACACAGTGGCAGGCAATGGCAAACCACCTATGAACATGTCTTGAAAACCCCACGGGGTCACCATTAGCTCTGACTTGATGGCAACAACTACAACAACATTTATGGGATGGGGTACAGCATCTGCTTTGTATACCTAAATTCAATGCCCAGCATCTCCAGCTAAAAGGTCAAGTAATAGATGATGTGGAAGACCTCCACTTGAGACACTGCAGGGTTGCTGCCAGTCAGCTTAGACAGTACTGATAAATCAATGATCTGACCCAGAAGAAGGCAGCTTTATGTGTTCATGTGGGTTCCTAAGGAGTAAGAACAGCCTGCAGCCTAGGCATAGAAGTAGCAAGGAAAGATAAGGCACACATCAATCCCAAAGGGAGAGGAGGAGGCGAAGGCGGAGGAGGCAGAGGAGAAGATTGGATTTATACCCCACTCTTTACTTGAAGTCTCAGAGTGGCTTACAATCTCCTTTCCCTCCCTCTCCCCCAAACAGACACCCTGTGGGGTAGGTGGGGCTGAGAGAACTCTTGAGAGAACTGCTCTTGAGAGAACAGCTCTTGAGAGAACAGCTCTGACAGAGCTATGACTGACCCAAGGTCACCCGATTCTCTAGATTAGAGTCTGCTGCTCTTAACCACTACACCAAACTCGGAGATTTGAGTTTTGGCTAAAAAATTCAGAGGGGTAACCACATCACCCTATCACAGGAAAAACAAACAGGCATCTGGTGGCACCTAAAAGGCGAACAGAATTGTTGTGGCTGGAGATCTTT